CGATTCTCTCTGGTGGTTAGCACGGTGATCGAAGCCGCCAAGATCTTCATGGATGGAGGAAGTGATTCCAACCTCCTCTACTAGGACATTTTCGAGAGGATGAAGATCGGTATTGACAAGTTGTGTCCCGCGAGGGGACCAATTTGTGGAAGTCCCGGGGCAACAGGTGATGCCTCTAGGAATCATCAACCTCAAGGTCACATTTGGCAATGCCGTAAACTACCGCCAGGAGGCACTCCTTCGGGGTCGCCACTTTTCCAGGACTCCTACCACGCCATGTTAGGAAGACCATGTTTCATCAAATTCATGGCCGTCCCTAATTATACTTATCTAAATATGAAGATGCTAGGTCCTAATGGTATCACAACAGTCCTAGGAAATCTCCAGGACGCCTACCAATGCGACAAGCTTGTCGTCTAGAATGTCGTCCACAATCTTGATCCCGATGAACGTGAGCTCGACTATGAGATTATGCGAGGTCAGGACTCGGCGGCTCCGAGACCGGCACCTCCACGCCAGGGGTTCAAGCTATCACCTCCCAAAACAGGAGGATCCACCACCTGATCAGTTCACGCCGTCAGGCCCATCAACACCTCCAGCATTCATGCCCGGCGAGGACTCAAAGAAGGTCTAGCTCGAGGAAGGGAACGAGAGCAAGACTACCAACATAGGAAAGAGCTTGAACCAGATTCAACATGGCGAGCTCATTAGATTCCTCATCAAGAATCGGGATATCATTGCTTGGAAACCCTCTAACATGCCGGGGATTCCAAGGAAGATCGCTGAGCATGCCCTAAGGATCAAATCTGACATGGGGCCGATCAAGAAATGTATAAAAAGATTCGACGACGAGAAGTGAAGAGCAATAGAAGAGGAAGTTGCCAAGCTCCTCAATGCAGGGTTTATCAGGGAGGTTTTGCATCAGACTGGTTAGCAAATCCAATCCTTGTGCTAAACAAGAACAATAATAAATGGAGATTGTGTGTTGACTATACGGGCGTTAACAAGGCATGTCCAAAGGACCCTTACCACGTATAGACTAGATCATTGACTCCACTATAGGGTCCAAGTGGTTTGCTTCCTCGTTGCTTACTCATACCACTAGATTCAAATGAAAGAATCTAACTAGTTGGCCACTTTGGTCATTACCCCGATCGGTGCATACTACGATGTAGCAATGCTATTATGGCTAAAGAATGCGGGGGCTACCTACCAGCGTTGCATGAAACGCTGCCTCCATAATCAGATCACGAGGAACGTGGAAGCCTACATCAATGACATAGTGGTCAAATTAGGAAAGGCTAGCGACCTGATCAAGGACCTTTCGGAGACCTTTGATAATCTCCGGAAGTTCAAAATCAAACTCAACCCCGAGAAATGCACCTTTGGCATGCCATCCAGCAAATTGCTCGAGTGCATAGTGTCTGCACGAGGAATCAAGACCAATCCAGTCAAGGTGAAGACCATTCTCGACATGGGGCCACCACGAGAGCTCTGTGATGCCCAGAAAACTGATGGGATGCTTGGCTTCCTTAAGCCAGTTCATCTCTCAACTAGGCGAAAAGGGTTTCCCCTTATACAAACTCTTGAGGAAAATGCCAAACTGGCAGCGGACCCAGAAGCCTAGAAAGCTTTCGATGATCTCAAAGGCTTCCTCACCTGACCTCCAGTTTTGGTAGCCCTCATGACGAGGAACCCTAGCTCCTATATATCGTGGCAACCACTCAGGTGGTTAGTGTGGCCATAGTCTTCGAAAGGAAGGAGGGCCATATATAGGCTATATAGCGCCCAGTATACTTCCTCAGTCAGATACTCGCCGAAAGCAAAACACGCTACCCACATATCCAGAAGATACTCTAGGGGATATACATGGCAAAGAAAAAGTTGGTCCACTACTTTCACTTGCACCCGATCAGCGTGGTCACCTCCTTTCCGCTAGGAGAGATCATCAATAACCAGGATGCCATGGCTGGATAGCCAAATGGGCCATGGAATTAATGGCATATGGCAAAACATATACGCCACACACTACCATAAAGTCTCAAGCTATGGATAGAAGCCCACGCCAAGCCAGCTGTAGTCGACCTAGAGTACTGGAGAATGTACTTTGATGGATCCTTAATGCTGCAGGGGGCAAGAGCAGGAGTTGTCTTGATCTCCCCTTGTGGGAACAATATGAGGTATGTCCTTCAATTAAACTTTGAGGGAGCCACTAACAATGCCGAATACGATGGACCATGCACCATGGTCACTTTCATTGTTAGAAGGCTTGTCGCCTCAGGAGACTTGGAGCTCGTCGTCAGCTAAGTGACGATGAAAACCTCAACGTTCAGCGACCACAAGATGGAGGCCTATTGCACAAAGGTTAGAAAGCTTGAAGCCAAGTTCAATGGCATGGAACTTCAGCACATTCCTCGAAGGGAAAACAAAGAAGCCGATAGCCTCACGAGGCTAGGTTCTATTTGGGAAGCCCTCCCGATGCATTTCTAGATGTGATCACCAAATTGGCGTAGATCGTCATGCCTTTGTCATGTGTGGCTTCCTCCGTCCGTTACAATCCTGCCCGCTTTGTCGTGCTTGGTAGAGGGATTGTGAAGGGTTAGGTTTTGGGAGAGACGGGAGGTTGGGCCTCACAATCAGGGCCGAGAGGCCATTGAATAGGATTCTTCTCCCCTATCCCTTCTTCACTGGAGTCACTGCTCGATGGGGGCTTAACAGGCTTCACAACCCATCTGTGCTTGAGGTCCAATCTCCTCTTAGCACAAAACCGAGCCTGATGCAATGTATTTACCCTCGACATTCTTTAACAAGATATTCCCGGCTTGAACTTTTGGAACAAAACCGAGTGGCAGGGTTTGGGGAAAAGTTGAAACATTCACGTTGGGGGTGGATGCCTATCGATTAATTATTTTGGCGGCTGAGAGCTGGCAACTTGGGCACTGCAGCTGTTAATGCAAATATCTCTTTTGAGATTTTGAAATACTCCATGAGCTGAAACATCCAAAGTCTTAGCTCCACGAGAGTGGTTGGATGATGGCTCAGAATTCCAATTCCGTTCCAAAGAGACAGAATGATGGCCAAACACTCTACAGGGAGAACTTGCAAAAGGACAGAAGATATCACCAATCTTAATCACTGAATATAGTTGTCAAGATATCACCAATCTTAATCACTGAAAATAGTTCTCTGGAACGAGATTTACCCACAAGAGAGTCTTGAACAAACTTCCTATGGAAGGAAACCTTTTTAGTAGCTATTTTGCGTTTGGATTTTTGACTGATCATAGCTGTCCAGCTATCTTGTTCTTCCTTTTCCCATCTTTGCCATTCTAGTTCCCAGTTAGCGCCTCCATTGCACCACAAATGGAAGTCTATGTCAAAGTGTTCAGAAGTAATTCCCTTGAGAGCTCAAACTAGCAAACCAACCTGTTTAGAGGCAACTGAGAACTAGAAGTGACGATCTTTTAGAGAAGTCACATAAAAACTAGCAGTCAGACAAAATAGGAATCTTCGGAAAACCACGAGCAAGAAGAGGAACCATTCACAAAGAGGAGGGATGGTGCACCGAGGAAGAAAACTTGTGAAACACCTCAACTTCAAATTTCTTACCAGGAGAGAAGTCTCAATACCTCAGAAGCTCCGCAAGAGCAAGGTCCTTCTCCAGCTCCAAAGGAGCACCAGGAGAGGGGTCCATATGAGCCATCCACGAAGCAACAAGAGAGCGGCACACCTCACTAGCCAAGAGCACACCAACGGCAGGGAGTGGCGGAGGAGGGAAGCAGGAGCAAGAGGGCGGTGATGAGAGGCAGGGATGTGGGTGCTAATGGAGAGGAGAGCACAAGCGACGACCATTTGGTGCTCGAAGTTACCCTCCAAGGCCCGCCCCGAATGCCGCCAAGATCCGACGACTGGGACAACGAAGAGGCGCGCTAGTGCCACACGGGCGGGCATGTGTGCGGGGTAGCATGCGGGTGCGTGCCAGCGGCCTCTTTTTTCTTTCGTGTAATTTTATATTGGACACTGCTATGGCACGGTCGGCCGTGCGTTAGGCTAGTCGCACGGCCGGCCGCTCTGCATAGTCGTGCCCACACTCTTCTTCCTCCTGTGGTCCCACCGCCCTGCCGCGGCATGCCCAAGCCCTAGCGCGCCCGCGGTGGCCTCCTTCTCCCTCCCTCCTACCACCGCCATGGCCTCCTTCTTCCATAGCTTCGCCGCTGCGATGCCCCAGCCCCAACCTGGCCCGGAGGGGAGAGAGGGAGGAGTCACGTGGGGAGGAACCACGTGTGCATGCGCCGGGGAGGAGGTCGCTGGAGAGGAGGCCGCCGCGCAGCCATGAAGAGGGAGGGAGGGAGGGAGGGAGGGAGGGGCGATAGAATCACGGCCAGCCAAAACAAAGTCTTTACCTTTTATATTAGTAACCTATCAACAGCAAGTTGAACTGATTACTTGTTACATGCTCAAGGATGGAAATTCCATTGTCAACTATGGCCATGCAAAACTGCAAGCTGAAATTTAAATTAATTCTTGGGTATTGAATATATATTCGGCCAGTAGTTATTTGGTAATCATCTGTATAATTAGTGTCTAGGTGTTATGAATCAGTAAATTGTAGAGCCATTAGATATGGTATACCCGCATTATTAAATGTCTAGTTTTCAAGTCGTTTGAAAAATTATTTCTCATATCTAATTTTGAATATGCTTCTACAAGAAGTAATCGTTATATCTAGTAAATAGTGGAGCCCTTAGATAGAACTATGTTTAGCTGCACTAGCTATAAACATCTGTGCATGCTGTGGGCTGTGGCCTACCGGAATCATTGTCAGCATAACTGTTGACCTGTAGTCTAAATAGAAACAATCATTTTTATAGTGGGCCGGGAAAAATGTTCGCATACCAATGTTGGTGCTGTAGACCTAGTCTATATATATTTAACATGTTATAGAGATTTCTGATACTGTTTCCACAATATACCAATTGACTTGCTCAAAATGTTCTTTAGGTTCCTCCAATACAGCCACTGGATAGTCAATTGGCATTAGATGATCTAGACGTCATCAAAGTGATTTGTAAACGTAGCAGTGGAAATTTGCAATTGGTCCGACACAAATTTACTGGCCAGTTTTTTGTGCTGAAGGTATTTCTGAGGCATTCACTTCGATGGTTCTTTACAGTTTTGACTTTCAGCATAACTGTTGACCTGTTAGGGTCTTCACCTCCATTGGCCTGCCATTGTTTTTTCAGGGTATTGAAATAAATGTCGATGAGAGTTTAGGCATGCAGATTGCCAATGAGTTGAAACTAAGCTTATCACTACAGTGCCAATACATTGTTGGGTTCTATCAGTGTTTTTATTTCGATGGAACCATTTCTATTGTTTTGGAATACATGGATGGTGGCTCCCTTGCAGATTTCCTGAAGACTGTTAAAACCATTCCAGTGGTCTTCCTTGCTGCTATATGTAAGAAGGTCAGTGACATGTGGCAGAAGCTACACATAGTTTCTCCACTTTAATTAAAATTCTACGTTAACCTTACATGAATCATAAATTGCATCTTTCTTGTGCAGATACTAAAAGGACTGATATACTTGCATGAGAAGAACATTATACACCGTGATCTGAAACCATCAAATATATTGATAAATCATAGGGGTGAAGTAAAAGTATCAGACTTTGGTGTAAGTGCCATTATTTCAAGCTCCTCTGGACAAAGAGATACATTTGTTGGCACATGCTACTACATGTCGGTGAGTGCAAGTTTTTAGCTCACAAATGTCTTCTAGTTTGGCGTGAAATGATTTGAATTTCATTACCTCTGATGACCCAAAGCAAGAATTCTATTCTTGACAGCCTGAGAGAATCAATGGACAGAAATATGGTTTTATGAGTGATATCTGGAGTTTGGGTCTACTATTACTGGAATGTGCAACCGGCAATTTCCCATCTGTTCCATACGGCAACTTTTTTGAACTTCTCGAAGCTATTGTTGATCAAACACCACCAGATCAGTTTTCATCAGAATTCTGCTCGTTCATATCTGCATGGTAATCATACTGCTCTATACCAATGGTGTCTCTAGACACCCTTACCTGTGATTAATTTGCTTGAGACATGTTAGCATTTTTTTCCATTTGAAATTGAAATTATGAACTTATTTTAATTTTTAAAACTCCATCGTAGTAGACATGTTAGAATTAGTAGTTGTTTTCTTTCTTTCTTGTTTTTGCTCTAGTCAAATTACCTGCTTTGTATATTACATATGCGCCTAAAAGTATGTATAACCTATAAGGTAACATCAAGAAAAGTTTAGATCACGTGTTTCATTATATTATTAATTTTGGTATATCTATCTGTGAAATTGTCCAGCAATATGAGCTGATGTCTATGTTTTCTTTGTGATTTTTCAGCATACAGATGGATGCTAATGATAGGTCAACAGCACAAATCTTATTGGTAAGATAAAAAATGGCTTCACATCTTCATGTCATTTTAGGAATGTCAGCATGCAAGATTAAACCACTTATTTACCGGCCCTTCCCTACCTGTTGTCCTTGATGCAGGAACACCCATTCCTGAGTATGTACGATGACCAACATATAGACCTTGCTTCGTACTTCACTTCAGCAGGATTGCCCCACTTCTACGAATTCAAGTGGCGCGCTGTCACACCCAATTTTAATGATAAAATAGGATGTAAAATCTTATGTGCGCCTAGAGATCAGTCACACACATAAGCCAACAAATTATAAATAGTATCATCACAAGTGTTTATTACATCACGAATAAGACAGAGTTTTCACATAAATGTAGCGGAAGTATGAAAAGATCTCTCGCGGAAGCTCCATATCACAGGGACGTCAACTGGTTGACCACAAGTCTAGTAATCCTCAGGAAAATCGTCATTTACCATAGCCATCTATTACCCATTCGGGATTTTTATCCAAATAATGAAAATAAACAAGCGTAAGTACATGTCGTACTCAACAAGTGTAACATGGGGTTCATGAGGCTCAAAAGACTTGACACAGGTTTAACAGCATTCAGCTTTTAGTTGTCACAATTTTTAGCTTAAGAGTAGCAACAAGTTGTTTCAATTCCCAATGCAAAACACATGATCAATGTAAACATGAATAATGAATAGCATAAACAGATAATTCTTAGTGTTCATCTATTCCGTAAATGTTTCAAGGCCGCTCGTGATCGTGAGCACGGTTGATATACCAGTTTTACACTCTGCAGAGGTTGTATACTTTCACTGTGAGTCATGATACCCATATGCCCGGGTTAATTACTCACAAAACACTTTCAAGATGAGCAGACAGGGGGTCACTATGAAGCCTTTCAAAGGTTCGTCTAACAAGTCAGGGCCATTAGATTCACTCGGCAAACAGATATAGGAACCTCTTGTCGAATGGCACAATTCCATCGCGGCTATACGCATAAGAGTAGAGACTGTCCTATACCCGATTCGTCAAGCCATTCTTATGTCAATGAAGGTAACCACTAACAAGCTAGAAAAGGTCCTCATACCGAGCTAAAGCCAGAGCCATGTAGCCCTCACAGCTGTACTGTAAGTCCCGGATGATCACTTACAAATAAGTCCTTAGGGAGAGAAATCTAGAGCACCCTAAAAACAGCCCAATGCTCTAGCCCCCTGATCCCATGTTGCTAAAAATCATCTTTTAGTGTTTATTGCATATACCATTAGTCAAGTTACAAGATCATGGTTTCAGTTGAGCACTAGCATCATACTAACCAATGCAATACCCCATAGGTGACAAGGAATCCAGGATTTTAAATAGCTAGGAAAATTACTACGGTTGCCAAGGTTGACACATGCAGTATGAATTAAATGATTAAAGATGTATAGGACAACAAGGAAGATCTCATACTATACTTGCCTTAGACTCAGATCCTTCTTCTAGTCCAAACCTTCAATGGAACTCCTTGATAAACACGTAAAGCTCACCGACTAGACATGATCATAAAGCACCACACAAGCATCCATGCAATCATACACGAAGCAAACAATAGAACTAAATTAGAATAGTACACCACACATATGAAACAGTAAGTAAAAAGGTTTTAAAGATGTTCTACACGTCGCTACGAACACACAGACATAAAAAGCATGCTAATTGGAACTACGATCGTAAAGAAATGACTACAGGGTTTTATATTATAAAAGAAAAGAGAAAACTATGAGCTTGATTTATGTTAATTAGGAAAAACTATGTGAGTAACATTAATTTAGATTAAACAAATCATATTTATACTTAAAAACTGAGTTGAAGCTAATCATATTTTATTTATAAATATTTTGATATCATTTACACCAATTCAACTTTAACTTGCAAATACAAACTAACATGTGAGAACATCTAATCAAATTTGATATGTGTTTTAGACTAAACATATTGTAATTTAGAAACATATTTATGTTAGCAACTAGTAATGTTAAAACTTATTTGCAAAAGAGCATTGTATATAATTACGTTGCTTTTATTTATAAAAACTAGTTGCGTGCATATTAATCAAATTAATATTTAAGCACATATATAAAAGTCACTTGACATGAAAAACGACGACACTAGCATGTGGATCACATTGATACAAATGTAATGCAATGGGAACGACTCGAAACGGACTTAAAACGAATATACGACGACGATATTACGAACTAGTGGTAATTTCGTGATTACCTCGTCTTCATCCCTAGGCCTCCCGTACAGCCACCACACGGCCATGGCAACAGCAACTACGTAGGGTTGGGCTCGACTTGTTGCACGAAGGAGAGGATGGCGGGGCTGGGCAACGTGGCAGCGACGGTGACGGCAAGAGGAGGAAAAAAAATCTAATTTACTACACGAGGGATTTTCCAAACTAGGGGCTCTCCTTACGGTAATTTTGGTGCGCTTTGCCTAAGGGATTGGTACATATTTATGGGGAGAAAAACTGTCCACATCTACATCAACTAACAATATGATACTAATTGATGTTGCACCATTCACATTTACTAATAGGCCTAAATAATCATTAAAGCCCATTAGTAAATAAATGAATGGACCTTTATGATTTATTAGGATTATTGCACATGGACTTTGAGCGTTGAAAAAAATGAGAAATTTATTATTTTCGAAATTAATGAATTTCGTGGATAAAATAATTCCAGAAAAGTCTAAAATTTTTATTTAAGCCGCGAAAAATACTCCGAAAGCTTTGAAAATTTGGAGAAAATTCCTAGAGACATTATGGAACATGAGAAACTCAAATAAAGTATTTGGATCCCATGATAAGATAATTTGGAGTTTCTAAAAATTAAATTATGCTCACAGACAAATAGGAACAAGTTCTAGAAAAAGCTGAAAAAACTCCCGAGAGGTTTGTAGAGATTGATTGATGGACGAGAAACTAAAAGGAGTGATTTGCATTACAAAGAAAAGATTTTAGGAAGCTTCCAATGAAAACTTAAGCTGAGAAACAAAGAATTTGATTGTAGAAAAAGATAGAGGCGTGTCGGAGAAGAAAAATTAACCTACTAACGCTTTTTAAAGACTTTGCTCACTCTCAACACACAAAGAAGCAACAAGCAAACATCATATCATCCAAACGCCCGTCAAAATTAGAAAACTTTGAAAATTTACATTTTTTCTATAACTAAATTTGTGCTAGCTCAAACTAAACTTGGTAAATTTCATCCAAATATTAAAATAATTCTTTTTATTTAGTGTTTTCTATGTACAACCTAAAATCAGAAATTTTGAGGTGTGACACGTGCGTGGAATCAGTTTCCATAGACCGGGTAGACCACCCACTCTATCATATGGTCTCTGAAAATGAGCCACTTCCAGTACCGCTTGCCTCTAGAAACGTGGTCTCCAAACATGAACCACTTCCAGATGTTGAACCTGCCTTTGGATATATTAATGATACGTAGCTCACCTGCATTTTTGTGAAAAAAAATTTGCCTTTGGAAGCGAGATAGACAGCACCGAGCATCTTCCCGGTATAGTGTGTTAGCAACCACCGGTGGAACCCAATCACTACAACTGTTGAACCCCAACTTAAGCAAGCACAAGTACTGAAGCTCCAATACACTGGGAAACAGAGTTCGGGATAGGGAAGCAAAGCAAGGGAATCGAGGAGTACTCACTACCGGAAACAGAAGGTAAGCCGAGTGCAATATGGTTTGTCGAGTGCAATCCATCAGGCACTCGGCAAACAAGCTCTTTGCCGAGTGATGCAAAAAAAAACACTCGGCAAAATAATTATACTCGGCAAACGAGGCAAAAAAACACTCGGCAAAGTTTGACACTCGGCAAACTAGAAAAAAACACTCGGCAAAACTAGGCACTCGACAAAGAAGTATGTTTGTCGAGTGTAATTGCCTGGCACTCGGCAAAGAAATATGTTTGCCGAGTGTAATTATTTGGCACTCGGCAAATAATTTCATTTTTTTTCTCAAATGATCTTGAAACTTTTTCTACTCTCTACATACAACGTGTGGTATTCCATGTTAAAATTTGGTATGTTTGTGGATATGTATGTTATATTTAATTAATTTATTGCATTTCAAATATTTTTTTGGTAAATGTCAAATTTGAACTGCAAGTGATTCAAATAATAGAATAAAATGAGTAGAAAAATGATATTCATGTTATTGAGTCCAATGTGAGGCCTTACCCGAGAAATGAAAAGAAATTTCGAACATGTTCAGGAAACACAACCACGAACGTGTGGCCGAATGGTTTTTAAATTCTAAAAAAGCAAACGAAGTCTGAAAATCATGAGATTTGTCATGATGTGATGATATCATACATGGAGACTGTGGTAAAAATTTGAGAAGGTTTCGTACAATTTGTCATGTACGATGTTTAGAAACCGAAGCATCTCAGAAGAAGAATCGTAGCATTGAGAAGGAATCGGTAAGATTTGGGGTCAAAGTAACGGTCGAATTGGGGGTTTAACTTCAAAACTTTTTGTATAGGCAATAGAGAACATAGATTGTTTCATGTGAAATTTTGGTAATTATTTGGATCCGTTTGATA